GCAAATAACAGACAGAAGTTGGTCCCGAAAAAAACAAAGGGGGGGGCGGGGTCATGTAATATTACCCTCCTTTACGCTCTTTCAAAGTCAGCTCTTATCAGATGTTATCTCCCCTTATCTTGTCACTGTCATGGGGTGGACTTTTTTTTTTCTTGCTTCAAGGGAACAATATTATACATCTTCTTCTTCCTCCTCCTCCTCCTCCTCTTTCTCCTCCTCCTCCTCCTCCTCCTCCTCCTCCTCTTCCTTCCCTTCCTCCTCCTCCTCCTCTTCCTCCCCTCCTCCTCCTCCATTGCTTTTGGTCTCAAACTCCTCCAAATCATGAAATTGATCTTCACTGACATTCCATCTGTGTTAGAGCATCACTTGGGAAGAGAAGAGCCCCAGATTTCTGGGGAATCACATATTTCTTACCGTTTAGACATGCTGAAAAAGGACAACTGAAATGGCATTCCCACAATGCACCACTGGCCCCCCGATTTTTTTTATATGGTGCACACTGACCATGGAGACCCATTCTCTCACATGTGGGCCTACCAGCTTTCTCCTGCTTGATTTGAAGCTGCTAGAATTTATGCGATAAATACGTCAGAAACATTGGCTCGTAAGACGTATTTATATGTCAGAAACAGTCAAAGGGTTAAACCATGGGCAAACTGTTACATACACAGAACACTTAACTCTGATATTAACCCTCCCCTCAAACATCTCCTTGCCAACCTCAACAGAACACATGACCATAACACAAGGCACAGATCACTCTTTGATGTTCCTCGTGTCCATCTCACGCTATGCAAAAAGTCAATGCACATAAAAGGCCCAAAAATCTGGAATTCATTACCTGTAAATATAAAAGAAAACACTACCTGTTTATAAATTCAAGTCTCTTCTCAAAGATCACTTACTCACCCAAAACCAAATAAATACTGAATAACTGAACTTTATAAATTGTATATCTTAAATGTTTCTAAAAAAATTTATGTCACATAAATGTTAAACCTAAGACCCAATCTAACTTTGTTTTTTTTTTAAATACACTACCTAACAAAAATACGTGTACTCCATTCTACTGAATGTACAGCAAAAGCATGCAACCATGACCTGTCTTTGTAATACTCATTTGCGCTTTATTGTTATCTGTTTTTCAATAATGTTTTATCACTGTTACTCATTGCTTAGTTAATCTTAAGTTAATTTTAACCTGCCCGTAATGCTATGCATACAAGTGGCTTTGGGCATACTGCTCTTACCTGTATTTTTTTGTACCTCTGTATGTTCAAATTATTAAATAAAAAAATAAATAAAAAAGTCAACAGCACATCACAAGTGGGACAAGAACAGTTGTGTACAGGGGCTAATGGATGAGATGTGTGTGGCCTGATCATCAATGGACAGAGATTCGCTCAAATGACTATTCCTGCTTAAGGAGGCAGGCCAAACAAGCAAACCAAATTTTAAAATGAAATAAATTTTGTTTGGGGAATCAATATTACCCCGCAGCAAATCAACAAATGTATAGTTACAAGACCTGTTTATCCCAAGAGGTCTAGAGGTATAAAGCAGATGACACTAAATTTAAAGGTCTCCAAAAACTGGCGGAGCCTTTTCCTTCATGGGGTAGGGTGTCTTGAGCTGGTGATAAACTACAGAAGCCCCCTTCTTGATTACCTCCCATTTCCCAGGTGCTGTAAACCCCTACATACTTAGCAAATCTCATGAGTAATATAATTGGGAAGCCTCCTGTGGCACCTACCCAATTCCCAACACCCTTACTGGCTGTTAAAGAATCAAATTTGGAACATTTAACCAGAAAGGACATATCAAATGACCAGGATGATTCTCTAATTCCTTAAAGTTACCCTTACAGGTGGAATGAATTACCCTTACTGGGTGGAATGAATTATTTTTTTATAATCAATGAATGGAAAAATTCAGATGAGTCAAAATTAATTATTAGAATGTCAAAGATACTACTAACCTTAATAGGAGTCTCATGGTGTGTGAAGAACAGTGGAAAAAGTGAAAAGTGACCCACGATGCTCATGATTATGTAGACCTGTGCCTCAACTCTACGTTGCATGCATAACAACCTACAGAGAGATAGGCTCTTACAGAGGCTACAGGTACATTTTTAAATTATATATGATGATAAGGCTAACTGCATTAGAATTCAGCCAACCTCCACGATTTTTTGCTCATACTAGATACCATAATGATTATTCCAATATAAACATTCCAGGGTTTTAAAGAGTGGCAGTAGTTTGTTAAAACGGAAGTTCAACTTGCTACACCAATATGTCTTGGAAGGATTGTGAATCTACACCCCATTCTGCATGCTACAGACTGAAAAAGAACATAACAAACAGCAAGGCGTATTAGAGATGGGTGAGGGAAAGTAACAATGATATGAGTCACTTTATATATCCTCACAATATTGTAATATTCATAGGGAAGTGTTAAACCACTAGGGTTAATCATTGCCTGATTAATGGACTATCAGGTTTGATCCAAGAAACCTTGAATCAAAAACCCTTCACCAGCATCAACATTAAGTAGTTTGAAATAACATAGCTACATGAAGATCAATGAAAAAAAGCCTTATTTAGAATACATTTTTTCTTTAAATTTAAAAATACAGTGGTACCTTGACTTACAAGTTTAATTCGTTTCATGACTGAGCTCGTAACTCAATTTGCTCATATATCAAATCAATTTTCCTCATTGAAATTAACTGAAATGCCATTAATCCGTTCCATCGGAATTCCTGGCTCTCCGGAGGCAGGAGAAAATACTTCAATATAATGCTAATATTGGCAGTTTGGAGGGATATGTTGTGTATCTTTATACGTATATGCTTCTAAACTGTTGTATTCTGAGCACCTCTGCAAAAACAGTGATAATGTGTGAGTGTGGTGAAAGTGTTAAATTTAAATGATGAAAGTATTTTCTTTTTGGGGATTTTCTTTCTTTTTTGGGGTACCCTGCCTCGGTGGGAGACGGCCGACTTGTTGAAAAAAAAAAAAAAAAAAATCTACTCTAAAGGCTTTATTTACATATTTAAACTGATTAATATGACAAACAATAAAATAACACAGAAACATGATATATACTCTTTGAATGAATAAAATACACACACTATGTTTATTATGTGACGAGTGGTGGCAGCCCCTCCTGAGGTAAAAATAGTTATTGCTCTGATCATATCTTCCCATTCTTGCCCTTCTGAGGTTTTATTATAAGAGAAAACGGTGTGTTTGTGAGGGGACCTAGATCACTAGTTTCATTTTAAGGAAAACACTGAAACAAAAGCAATTTTCTCTTGTTTTTATTGACTACATTTCTTTAACCCTTTCAAATTTTAGCAAACCCCCAAATTCTGAAACTGTCTCCCTGTGGGCCAAAAAAATTAAAAAAAAAAAAAAAAAAAAAATTTTTTATGAAAATGAATCTTTTCCTGATGGTTAAAAGACACCAAAAGTACAAAATTTGATGGAAAACTTATGGAATTACACTCTCGCAAAGTTAGCGATGTCGGCGATATACGCATTGGCGATTTCACCCACTTTGAGCCCTATTTTTGGCCAGTTCCATTGATCCAGTCGACCCAAAATTTATAGCTATTTCTTTAGAACTCCTTTGTTTTTTTATCGATTGAGTACAAGAAACTGCCCCTTTACCAATTTCAACTACCCAATAAAGTGGTCAGGAAATTGGCAATTTGGCCAATTTCACGCAAATTTTAAAAGATTGCCAATTTCAAAATAGGTCCAGAATAAACAATGTAGACATTTCTGGCACTAAAATAACATTTTCTCTGTTCATTAGTCACGTCTCCAGGCCCCTCTTATATTACTCTTGCCTGATTTTGAATTTTTATCAAAACAAAAAATAAAAGATTTACTATTATGCAGACTACTGCATTATTGTAAAAAATGGTATAAATAATTCAATGCACTTGTAAAAAGAACATCAGACTCACCCGTTGAAAGTGTATTGGATGCGTGGCGTGATTTTGTTTACTCTTGAACAGTGGCAAATCGAACATTTCTGCTACTTTGAGTTCAATTTCAAGGTCCTTTTCATCATGAAACTAACCAAAATCATCTCTTTCTGTCATATGTCTTCCATTCTATCAAATGAGACCAATAAAACGAGAATACAACCATAAATACTACACAAAAATACACCTCAAAGTCAGCATTTTAATCCAAAAACATGGTGGGAGTTTTTTTTCTCATTATGCACTGTGTGCTGCAGGATTATTTTTTATACTGTACACACTGACCACACAGACCCATTATCTCACATGTGGGTATACCAGCTTTCTCCCGCTCGATTTGAAGGAACTAGAATTTAGGCATATTGATACGTCTGAAACACTGGCTCGTAAGACGTGTATATATGGCCAAAACAGTGAAAGGGTTAATTCAACAGACATCATCCTCTTCTTCTCAGCACTGTCCTTTGCACTTACTTTCTTAGGACCCATGGTTAGAAAAAAGAAATTTGGCAAAATAACTGCACAAAAATCACAGAATGCTGGGATGTGGGATGCTGGGTGGATGTTGTGGCGTTCACTGTGCCAATTAGTGGTGGCGTATCTGAAGCTCGTTTGTAACTCGGATTTTGGCTCACAACTCAAAGCAAAATATCGACCGAGCAACGGCTCATAACTCAGAAAACTTGTAAGTTGGGGCATTTGTAAGTCAAGGTACCACTGTAAAAGAGGATTCTTCAAGGTTACTAAGGCAGGAAAGTGACCAACACAGCATTAATTAAATAATCAATAATAAAATAGGAGTAAAATCTTTTTCTATTTAACTGAGTAACAAAACATCTACTTAGCAGCTTGATGGGTCACGATTAGCTGAGAGCATATTGTACACCACCAATCCTTGCACTAAATAACCCACAAGGGTTTAGAACTTCATGAAATACAGTATACCATAGGAAAGTTATTTGTTTGTAATATTTTCCAAGACCTGAAATAGCTGAAATTTTACTTTTTTTTTTTTTTTTAGCTGAACAGGAATGAGGACTAACTTTTATGAAGATTGAATATATGCATGTATACATTAATAGAGCACTCACATATGAAGAAGACTACTTACCCTAGAGGTAAAATTACCAAGAGAATGGCCTTCTCATGCACATGCCAACCAAACATATATGAGCCAAATCCGCACAACACTAGTCCACGCACAAACTGCCAAGGATTGTGCGGGGTCCTCCAAAGGTTCACCAAACATGGCTGAAAGATTAATTTTTATTTCACAAATATTTGGGAACATTTAGGTAAGAGAACCACATGAATTAGATGGTTGAGAAATGGCATTAAAAATAGGATGGAATGTGTCAAAAATGCATTTGCTCAATTACTGTCAGGGCCAAAAGCAATATAGAAAAGATAGAAGCAATACAGTGATTGTCATTAAAGTATGCCGACACTCCTTCAAACTACAACCACAAAATAACTCGTCACTTATGCTTTGGGACATCCTTCAACCATCTAGGAAGTGATTAACACATTCTTTAGGATTTCATGCGGTAAATTCCCCCAGATGAACAAGGAGGCTTTAGGAAAGGTAGGGGGTGTGTGGACCAAGTATTTACAGTGAAACATATAGGTGAACAGTATTTAGATAAGAGTAAAGAGGTTTTTGTGGCACTTATAGATTAGGAAAAGGCATATGACAGGGTGGATAGGGGGCAATGTGGCAGATGTTGCAAATGTATGGAATAGGAGGTAGGTTACTGAAAGCAGTGAAAATTTTTTTACGAGGAGAGTGAGGCTAAGGTTAGATTATGTAGGAGAGAGGGAGATTATTTCCCAGTAAAAGCAGGCCTTAGAGAAGGATGTGTGATGTCACCATGGTTATTCAATATATTTATAGATGGGGAAAGTGAATGTGAGAGTGTTGGCAAGAGGTGTGGGGTTAAAAAATAAAGAATCTAACACAAAGTGGGAATTGTCACGTTTACTCTTTGCTGATGACACTGTACTTTTGGGAGATTCTGAAGGAAGTTTAGAGGTGGTGGATGGTTTG